CATCTCATCGGTGCAAGTTCAAGTCTGCAACTTGTTATAAGTGCAGTAAGCAAGGTCACATTGCCAAGGCCTGCTTTGCAAAGTCTTCGTCTGTTGCTAAATCTAGCCAGTCAAGACAGTACCGCAACCAAAAGCAGCACTATGTTAACTCTCACCAAGACTACCTAACCCAACCAATGAACCACTCTACCTGTGAAAATGCTCAAACTGATTCGCAGCCGGATTTCAACCTGTTCTCTGTTAAATCAATAAGTCATGCTCCCATCAATGTACAAGTTAATATCAACGGTAAGAGCATCAGCTTCCAACTTGACACTGGAGCATCTCTAACAGTCATAACAAAGAAAGATTTTGACGCTGTCATAGGAGGATCAGTGCCTCTACAGCCATGTCACAAGTGTCTAACAACATACACTGGTGACAATGTTCCGGTAATAGGAGAGTGTATGGTTCATGTAAGTTATAATGGTCAAAGTGTTAAACTTCCTCTTCTTGTGGTTGAAGGAAATGGACCGCCATTACTAGGTAGGAACTGGTTAAGTGATCTTAAGTTAAATTGGGAGAGTATTTGTTCATTGAAGAATGTAAAAGAATCTAGTCTTACTTCACTAGATAAAGTTATATCTGAAAATAAAAGTGTTTTTGGTAATCATGGATTACTAAATGATAGAACAGTGAAGTTAAGCATTAAAGACACAAATCCAAGATACTGCAAAGCTAGAGTTCCACCTTATGCAATGAGGAATAAAATTGAAAATGAGCTAAGTAGATTGGAATCTAATGGCATTATAAAGAAGGTAGACTATTCCGATTGGGCGACACCCATTGTGCCAGTGTTAAAGAAGGATGGTTCTATAAGAATTTGTGGAGATTATAAAACTACACTGAATAAGCAAATAGAGCTAAATAGGTACCCTATACCTAACATTGAGGAAATTTCTTTGAATTTGGCAGGAGGAGACAAATTCACTGAATTAGACTTTAGTCATGCTTACACTCAACTAGAACTGCATCCAGATTCAAAAGTCTATACGACAATAAACACACATAAAGGACTCTACCAATATGAAAGGCTATGTTTTGGCATATCATCCAGCCCTGGAATTTTCCAAGCTGTCATGGACAGTATTTTTAAGGACATTCCAAATGTTTGTGTGTACTTTGACAATGTGTACATAACTGGTAAGAATGACACTGAACATCTTAAAACACTTGATAAAGTATTAAAAATTGTTGGTGAAAAAGGTTTAAAGATAAACAAAGATAAATGTCAATTCATGTTGACAGAATTTAGTTTTCTTGGTTATATATTAAGCAAGCAAGGTATCAGACCTCATCCTGAGAAAACAAAAGCCATTAAGGAAGCACCCAAACCTGAAAATACCCAACAACTAAGAGCTTTTTTGGGCTTGATAAATTACTATGCAAAGTTCATAGGAAATCTGTCTGGTAAACTATCACCACTGTACAAGCTGCTACAGAAAAATGCAACTTGGCACTGGGGTAAACAACAAGAAGCTGCTTTTAATACAGCAAAAGAGGCTTTGTCTGCTGACACCTTACTAACTCACTATGACCCAGGGAAAAGACTTGTATTGACATGTGATGCTTCACCAGATGGTGTAGGAGCAGTCTTGTCCCATATGGATGAGAAGGGTGACAGACCCATTGCTTTTGCCAGTAGATCTTTGAACCAGGCTGAGAAAAATTATTCTCAGTTAGATAGGGAAGGCTTAGGCATCATTTTTGGTGTTAAGAAATTTCATAAGTTTCTGTTTGGTAGGAAGTTCACCATCTTTACAGATCATAAACCATTGCTAGGTTTATTGGGAGAAAACAAAACCCTACCTGAGCATGCCTCACCAAGAATTCAAAGATGGGCTATCACACTAACTGCATACAATTATGAATTGAAATACAAACCTGGATCTGAGAATAGTGCAGATAGTCTTAGTAGATTACCTTTAAAAAACCAAAGCCTGAGCTATGTACCAGAAGATGTTTTTGTTCTCTTCACTATCATGGATAACTCCAATATAAATGTGAATGATATTAAAAGAGAAACACAAAAAGATGAGTGCTTAATAAAAGTATATGAGTACTGTAAGAATGGTTGGCCTGAAGAGTCTGTGAATGAGGACTTAAAGCCATATTAAATAAGAAATAAAAACCTTTGTGAAGATAATATAAAAGATGGAGAAGATACAGTCCATTATCAGTCAGAGTTGCCTAAACAAAGTATTTGTAACTTAATAAATGATTATGGTGATATGGCAATTTCAAATGCTTTAAGTAAGAAGGAATGTGATCATAAAACAACTTTGCTAACATCATTAGCACTTACAGAAACTAAAAGGGTAACATCAAAAGAAAAGAAAAAGATTTTTGCCATTTAATACACCCACTTCAAATACTGGATCACAGTTGCAAAGTGATATGGTCCAGAATATTACTCATAAACAGTATTTTTGGTTACCAGGAAAGCACTATCAGATTACCTGAGAAAATTGATCAATCAAAGAAATCTATGTCAGTCAAGGATCTGAATAACGGCATAATACTTCCAGATGCCAATTCAAAAATAGTTCCATTAAATCATGACAACTCATGCATTGAAAGAGAATTTGGTATTGATGAGAATGTGTATCTAAGAAATTATGGGAGAAAGGAAAAATGGATACCAGGTCAAATTGTTCAAGGTACAGGACCTGTGTCTTATAAAGTTAAAAATAACTTGTGCAGATAATAAGTGTGAATCTATCAATCCCACCAAGTCTGATCAGTTCACACCAACTCAGTTGTTTCACAACCAAGCTCTGTTGATATGAGTGAACCAAGTTGTCTGGAGTCAGAAAATGTAAATTCTGGAGTTAATGAGTTAAATCCTAGACCTCCTGAGATAGAGAATCCAAATGGTCAGAATCTTGAGTCACCAAATCAAAAGCCACTGAGAAGGTCAAGCAGGACAATCAAAGTCCCAAATAAGTTAGACCTATGATTCTAAAGGTCAAAAGGACTTTGACATTATTGTTTTGTATTTTGATTATGTTGTAGCATATTGTGCATTGTTTGTAAGGATGTAATCTACCATAGTGTTCATGTTACAATATAATTGGTGATTTTAGGATACTATCAATTGTTCTATTGAGAGAGGTGTTATTGTGTTCTAAGGGTAAAGGGATGTAATAGATTGAGATAATTGTATTGGTATTATATTTATATTGTTATCTTGAGTGATGTCCCTTACATGTGTATCTCGTCACTTCCGTCTTCCGTCTTGCCGGTTAACAATAAAAGCTGTTTACATATTAATGGCTTCTGTCTCCGTTGTGTAATTCTTAATCTACCTCAATGTAGTAATTTGTTTTAATTGAAATTTTTTTTTTTTCAAAACCCCAACAGGCCAGCAATGTTCGTATTTTGTGTGTGTAAATATATATATATATATATATATATATATATATATATATATATATATATATATATATATATGGGGGGGCCTAAAAAATTTTTTTTGCGGGGTGGCCCTTTTTTTCTAGTTCCGCCACTGGCGTGCATGTATGTTAGCTACTGTAGAACAAACACTGCTATAGTGCAGCTATAGAAGACCTGTTTGTTTTTTACAAAACCACTGTCAAGGTGCACGAAAAACATTATTAGACCGCCCCCTCCCCGCTAGTCATATAGGCCTACTTACTTGGATGCAAAAAATTAAACCTAGATTCAGGGGAAGCCACTCTATTTCACAAATGGCTGCTGTTTATAATAGTATAAATAGCAAATCTTGCTCACAAACACTGCTGTTTAAAGTTAACATCTGGCCTATAGGATAGGGGCCTATAGTAAATAGTGTTATAGAATCTATAATATATTCAGCCATTGATTTAGGTTTATTATTCATTTATCTATAATATTTGACACAAATATATCACAATATTAGTATTTAGGGCAGGGTAATCTATCGTTTTAGGTACGTAAAATCGCCCGCGACTAGTAATGTGAAAAACAGGTGACTCCTCACATTTTAATAATTATTTCACATTTTGATGATTTTGAGGAGGATTTATGTTTTGAAAAATACAAAAATGTTTCCTTGTTTCATAATTTATGTACCTTTTTTTAAACAATTGAATTAAAACTTTTCAGTAATAAATGACAACCAGCGATGTTTCCAACAGATGCAACCATGCTCATTTACTATAGCAGCCATCTTGTTAAAGTTTTATTTTTATAGACTTATAGCGCGAGATTCAGGCGGAAGTCACTCTATTTTACAAATGGCTGCTGTTTATATAGCAAATCTTGCTTGCAGACACTGCTGTTTAAAGTTAATTTCTGGCCTATATTGATATATTTAGCCATTGATTTAGGTTTATTATTCATTTATCTATAATATTTGACACAAACATATCACAATATACTTATATTACAGCCTTGACAATGAGGTAACGTTTTCGTACATTAATAGCCGCGGGCGATTTTACGTACCCTAAACGATAGATTACCGTATTTAGATCTAGATCTATAATTAAAGCCTTGACAATGAGGTAACTTTTTCATACATTACTAATTTTTTGAAAATTGCCCTGGATTTTTCTTTTTTATTGTCAATACAAATGCATGCAATGTAAGTCCACTTACTTAGCTTTTTGCTTATTTTTATTGATTTAAATTTTACCATTATTGTGAGAAGACACATAATTTTAATTGTATTAGGATAAAAACATCCTAAGATCTGTTAAACTTCAATAAATAAAATGGTACAAATGAGGTTGGTTTGTATTGGTGTTGAGATTATCCAGAAAATAACCAGTGACTTGTCTGCACCACTGGAGTTACAGATGAATGGAGAATGTAATTTAGGATTTACACTTTCCCTAAACATATCAAACAACACCAATAACCACATTGCTAGTGTGTCTATTATGCCAATGATGTGACATGCAGCAGATTGAAAGCCCCAAATCCATGTAAGCATTGATGGGCTCTTGACACAAATTTACAATAGTCTAAGTAACACTTTATGCTCATTCATTAACCTTTCTCAAAAAAGGTTTGCTATTTGGGATTAATAGAATCCATGGTTTGATTCTTGGATGCAGAGAAGAATTTAGGCCGCATTTGTGCACAAGGCCGCCTTTGCAGGGTTCGCTCCGCGTTACGCTTAATCTTTACCCTAGGTGGCACGCGATCTAAAAAAAAACATATCAGGACTGCCCGATATTTTGTTTTTCGTGGTAAGAATTTAATGTTGACATAGAGTCTAGATCTAGATCGAGTTGAAGCGTATTTACATTATTTCAACACCTAAGAGTCTAGTACTTGTAAAAAAAACAGTACAGTGTAGTGTCAATCAGTGGGTCAGATTATAGTCCTAGATCTAGCAGCAATCTAGATCTAGCTAAATCAAACTGTCCTTTAACCTTTAGGCCTAGCTATCTAGCATGCGTGATAGTAGATCTAAGTCTATATTATTTTTACACTATGTGAACTTAAAAAAAATATTTCAATTTGCTTGAGGGGTGAGGAAGAGAGAAGTGAAGACAGCAATCTCGTGAACTTGTGTTCATTCTATGAACATTTAGGTCTGCTGAGCTCACAGTGACCTCGCCGACTGTGGGCTGTGGTGGGATTTTCCACTCACGGGATAGTAAACGTAAGGCAAGCAAGCAATGACGACAGTGACGATGTTTGAAAATTTTATTTAAAAAAAAAAAACTAATCATAGTCTACATCATATTTTTAATATGAAAAAAAAAAATGTAAAAAAAAAAACTAGTGCCAGCCGAGCTAACCCCGGATTTGAACTCGGAACTCCGGGTCTATGAACTAGTCTACAGCTGGCACACTGTTGACTCAAACACCGGATGTGAGAGTTATGCAAAAAGTAAGCGATTTCAATTACAAGATGGCAAATCCAACCTCCGAGACGCGTAGTCTATTCCTGAGGGGCCACGCTTTGCGAGACGCGTAGTCACTTCGAAGAATTTATACATCTAAACATAAACTTTTGTTGGGCATTGTTACTTTAATACCTGTACTGATCATGTCTTTTACAAATAATCATGACCCTGGGGTCAATAACAGTTTAGAAGCCAGCTCCTAAATGTCCTCTATGTTTACTTCTATTTTGCCGTTTGTGGATAAGTTTGGGGTATTATACTTACAGTCATTCAATAAAGTGAATCAGGAGCATCTCCTGGTGCACCTGCAGGGTTCGATTTGGCGCTCTGGGCTATCCTGAGAGCGCAGTGGTGCATAATTACGTTTTAAACAGTGCAATAGACTAAGGATAAGAAAGGTTACTATAGTCTCAATAGACTATGGATAAGAAAGGTTACTGTAGTCTTTAACTTAATTGAATCCGGCCATCTTCCTGCACCCCGACAGGGTGCTATTTGGCGCCCCGGGCCTTCCCGTGTTAGCTATGGCGCCTACGTTCCTTTAAGTGAGTACAAAAGACTATTAAGTTGGGCTACTAAAGTCGTTTACTAAGGTGAATCGGCGGTTTCGCTTGCGCCCCAGCATGGTGCAATTTGGCAACCCGGGCTAGACTGTGAGCACTTTGCGTTTATGTTTGCATTTAAGTTTGTGTTTATGTTTGCGTTTATTTTCTATTTTCATTATTTTGAGTTATTGTTTGCATTTTGGTTTGCGTTTGTGTTTTCTATATTACCACAGAAAACACAGTGGGACTACTTTCACTGTAAAACAAAGTCTTAGTAACATAAGCTGTTTTTTTGTGTTGTAATATTATATGACTGTATTGCAGGTATTAAAGGTTAGGTATGGCTGACATTATATCGAGTGATTTGAAACAGAGCCTAGTGCTGCGCCTACCCCCCTTATTGAAAAAGATTTTGGTTCGGTGGAAAAATGCACTGAATCATGAGAGTTGGGTCTTAGAAAAAATGATGGAATTGTTTTGTAAATTTATAGGTAAAGTATTATTGTCTGTGTTTGCACACTGATTTTACTACTAGGAATTTGAGTATTTTGTAATTAGGACACCATGACTTATTTAGTACAAAAAGTGACACCTATCTACCATAGTATATTTTAATAATCTTTTCTTTGCCTTAGCTCCTAACAAGCTACTGATTGAAGAAGTGGATTTTGTTGGGTTTCTTCAAGGCTTTTATCAAGAGATGAATCTAATAGACTACCCTGATTTTGTGATGAATAATGTGTCCCTAATGGCTAGCCAGATGATTCTATCTACTCACAACCTAGGGGTAGCTGGAGATATTGCATTTCAAGTCATTAGAAGCCCCTTGTACTACATGATGGTCAACAGAGGCCATAGAGTAGATGTAACATTTAACATTTACCTCAAATTTTTAAAATCAAACTCAGCCATTTCCCATTTGGAAAGTGTTGATTGTAAGTCATCATCTAAATCTACTTAATGATTCCTTCTAAGAAAATGTGTATCAGCCTGTTCAATTAGTGTGCCAATTTTTTTTCGCCCTTACAGTTGACACTGATGCATCAGTTGCCTATGCATTGGTCAGTCCACATAACTACACAAGGAAATCAGCTGCACATTATCTTACTGCCCTGGTTCAACTCAGTTTTCAAGAAACTTCCACTCCGCTCAGGAGCCAAGTCAAGAAGAAATTGAAACGGCAAATCATTGACCTCATCCTCAAGTTGACCACTACATTGAGTCAGCAGTTGATTGAGAGAAATATGTATGAAATGGCAGTCTACAACAACTTTTTCCACCTTCTCAGTCTATGTGCAGCTGCATGTCCAGAGTTTTGTCAAACGTTCTCCTCGACAGATCTCTTTGACAGAGTCAATATTTGCCTGAAAGTGCTGGCTCCACATGTTCAAGACAGCACAAATTTCTTGGCCTCTACTGCAGAAGTACTCCTCAGGCTGTGCCATTATGGGTTAGTTGTTTTATTACTGAAGGGGTTAGATTTACATTAGGGTTAAGATTGTTTGATACTAATGTGTTATTGGGTCATACATATCCTAACATGAAGATGATATTTACAGATACAAAATTAATAATTTAAAATAGTACATGTACACAAACTAAGCCAGAGCTCTTGTTCACATCTAAGCCAGAGCAATTGTACACATATTCTAAGCCAGAGCAATTGTACACATCTAAGCCAGAGCAATTGTACACATATTCTAAGCCAGAGCAATTGTACACATCTAAGCCAGAGCAATTGTACACATATTCTAAGCCAGAGCAATTGTACACATATTCTAAGCCAGAGCAATTGTACACATATTCTAAGCCAGAGCAATTGTACACATCTAAGCCAGAGCAATTGTACACATTTAAGCCAGAGCAGTTGTACACATATTCTAAGCCAGAGCAATTGTACACATATTCTAAGCCAGAGCAATTGTACACATCTAAGCCAGAGCAATTGTACACATCTAAGCCAGAGCAATTGTACACATTTAAGCCAGAGCAATTGTACACATCTAAGCCAAGAGCAATTGTACACATATTCTAAGCCAGAGCAATTGTACACATATTATAAGCCAGAGCAATTGTACACATATTCTAAGCCAGAGCAATTGTACACATCTAAGCCAGAGCAATTGTACACATTTAAGCCAGAGCAGTTGTACACATATTCTAAGCCAGAGCAATTGTACACATATTCTAAGCTAGAGCAATTGTACACATATTCTAAGCCAGAGCAATTGTACACATCTAAGCCAGAGCAATTGTACACATCTAAGCCAGAGCAATTGTACACATTTAAGCCAGAGCAATTGTACACATATTCTAAGCCAGAGCAATTGTACACATATTCTAAGCCAGAGCAATTGTACACATATTCTAAGCCAGAGCAGTTGTACACATCTAAGCCAGAGGACTTGTACACATTTAAGCCAGAGCAATTGTACACATCTAAGCCAGAGCAATTGTACACATCTAAGCCAGAGCAATTGTACACATCTAAGCCAGAGCAATTGTACACATTTAAGCCAGAGCAATTGTACACATATTCTAAGCCAGAGCAATTGTACACATATTCTAAGCCAGAGCAATTGTACACATCTAAGCCAGAGGACTTGTACACATTTAAGCCAGAGCAGTTGTACACATCTAAGCCAGAGCAATTGTACACATCTAAGCCAGAGCAGTTGTACACATCTAAGCCAGAGCAGTTGTACACATCTAAGCCAGAGCAATTGTACACATATTCTAAGCCAGAGCAATTGTACACATCTAAGCCAGAGGACTTGTACACATTTAAGCCAGAGCAGTTGTACACATCTAAGCCAGAGCAATTGTACACATCTAAGCCAGAGCAATTGTACACATGTAAGCCAGAGCAGTTGTACACATCTAAGCCAGAGCAATTGTACACATATTCTAAGCCAGAGCAATTGTACACATCTAAGCCAGAGCAATTGTACACATATTCTAAGCCAGAGCAATTGTACACATCTAAGCCAGAGCAATTGTACACATATTCTAAGCCAGAGCAATTGTACACATCTAAGCCAGAGCAATTGTACACATATTCTAAGCCAGAGCAATTGTACACATATTCTAAGCCAGAGCAATTGTACACATATTCTAAGCCAGAGCAATTGTACACATATTCTAAGCCAGAGCAATTGTACACATCTAAGCCAGAGCAATTGTACACATTTAAGCCAGAGCAATTGTACACATATTCTAAGCCAGAGCAATTGTACACATATTCTAAGCCAGAGCAATTGTACACATATTCTAAGCCAGAGCAGTTGTACACATCTAAGCCAGAGGACTTGTACACATTTAAGCCAGAGCAATTGTACACATCTAAGCCAGAGCAATTGTACACATCTAAGCCAGAGCAATTGTACACATCTAAGCCAGAGCAATTGTACACATCTAAGCCAGAGCAATTGTACACATTTAAGCCAGAGCAATTGTACACATATTCTAAGCCAGAGCAATTGTACACATATTCTAAGCCAGAGCAATTGTACACATCTAAGCCAGAGGACTTGTACACATTTAAGCCAGAGCAGTTGTACACATCTAAGCCAGAGCAATTGTACACATCTAAGCCAGAGCAGTTGTACACATCTAAGCCAGAGCAGTTGTACACATCTAAGCCAGAGCAATTGTACACATATTCTAAGCCAGAGCAATTGTACACATCTAAGCCAGAGGACTTGTACACATTTAAGCCAGAGCAGTTGTACACATCTAAGCCAGAGCAATTGTACACATCTAAGCCAGAGCAATTGTACACATCTAAGCCAGAGCAATTGTACACATCTAAGCCAGAGCAGTTGTACACATCTAAGCCAGAGCAATTGTACACATATTCTAAGCCAGAGCAATTGTACACATCTAAGCCAGAGCAGTTGTACACATCTAAGCCAGAGCAATTGTACACATATTCTAAGCCAGAGCAATTGTACACATCTAAGCCAGAGGACTTGTACACATTTAAGCCAGAGCAGTTGTACAAATCTAAGCCAGAGCAATTGTACACATCTAAGCCAGAGCAATTGTACACATCTAAGCCAGAGCAGTTGTACACATCTAAGCCAGAGCAATTGTACACATATTCTAAGCCAGAGCAATTGTACTCATTTAAGCCAGAGCAGTTGTACACATTTAAGCCAGAGCAGTTGTACACATTTAAGCCAGAGCAGTTGTACACATATTCTAAGCCAGAGCAATTGTACACATCTAAGCCAGAGCAATTGTACACATCTAAGCCAGAGCAATTGTACGGTTCCCAGAAAGAACCGCAACGGAAAAAAGCGCAACGGAAAAAAGCGCAAATCAAAAAGCGCAACGGAAATAAGCGCACACGGAAAAAAGCGCAAAGAGAAAAAAGCGCACACAGAAAAAAGCGCAAAGAGAAAAAAGCGCAAACGGAAAAAAGCGCAAAGAGAAAAAAGCGCACACAGAAAAAAGCGCAAACAGAAAAAAGCGCAAACGGAAAAAAGCGCAAAGAGAAAAAAGTGCACATGGAAAAAAGCGCAAAGAGAAAAAAGCGCAAACAGAAAAAAGCGCAAAGAGAAAAAAGCGCACACAGAAAAAAGCGCAAACAGAAAAAAGCGCAAACGGAAAAAAGCGCAAAGAGAAAAAAGCGCAAACGGAAAAAAGCGCAAACAGAAAAAAGCGCACACGGAAAAAAGCGCAAACAGAAAAAAGCGCAAACGGAAAAAAGCGCAAACAGAAAAAAGCGCACACAGAAAAAAGCGCAAACAGAAAAAAGCGCAAACGGAAAAAAGCGCAAACAGAAAAAAGCGCACACAGAAAAAAGCGCAAACGGAAAAAAGCGCAAACAGAAACAGAAAAATGCGCAACCAGAAAAAACACAACGAAAAATGTGCAAAAGAGAAATTTAGCACAAAGACCATATGGACTAGATGACACATTTATACATGACTGTTAGGGCTGCTGTGAGAGTGTCGTGTTTGATCACGTGATCTACTACCATTTAAAGCGTACCACTACCATCTGCATTCCCATCACCACGATACAGGCGATAATCACTTTACACAATGCCTATTATTTTCTTGGTCAATAATTATTCAACTACTATTCTCGTATAAACATAAAACTATCGACATTACACGAAGTATCTTTCACATTCTCCCTAGTCCGAACTACCTAGCTTGCATACTATAACAACCCGTTCCTATGGCAAAACTTCACTCTCTTTCATCCGCGTCATCAAACATGCATTTGTCATATCTCTCGTAACAACATTCATTCGCACCAAAATAACAATTTTGTATTTAATATTTTTTCACATCATGACGCACCTACCTACCTACTACCCACCTACCTACCCACCTACCTACCTACCTACCTACCTAACTACCCACCTACCCACTTACCCACCTACCCGCCTACATACTTACCAAACTACCCACCAAAAAAGTATCGGCGAAGTTCGTAAGCTTCGTAAACTGTACTAGACATCTTTTTTTTTAATGAAAATTCATTGACATCATTGACATATGTTACATATATGTTACATTTTGCGACAACCTTAATTATTGCGTTGGGCTTGTATGAAAACTCACTTCGAACTAACTCAATTACATGCTATTTATTTTAACATTACACGGTAAGCGTCACCCAACTGTTGTGATGTGAGGCGAGGACAGGTTCGACAATAAACCAACACGAAAGTACGAAAGAGACAAAGATTGCCTATTAGAGAATGGACCCCTTAACTTTCCTAACCCCACCATTTATTATACCCTACCTAACCTCTAAATTTACTGCGCTAAATGTCACTTCTCTCCCAATCGTTCCTATTCTACAGAATTGTGTATACTATTTATTTACATTCTTTAATCTCAATATAACTAAAATAGACTTTAGTTTGAAGGGTAATGAAAACATGTAAACAAAAGGGACGCTACTCTAAATCTATGCGAATACTTATATGCAGTGTGGGTGGGTGGATGGATGTGTGGGTGGGTGGATGGATGTGTCGGTGGGTGGATGGATGTGTGGGTGGGTGGATGGATGGGTGAGTGGGTGGGTGGATGTGTGGGTGGGTGGATGGATGGGTGTGTGGGTGGATGGATGTGTCGGTGGGTGGATGGATGTGTGGGTGGGTGGATGGATGGGTGTGTGGGTGGGTGGGTGGATGTGTGGATGGGTGGGTGGATGTGTCGGTGGGTGGATGGATGTGTGGGTGGGTGGATGGGTGTGTGGGTGGGTGGATGGATGGGTGTGTGGGTGGGTGGGTGGATGTGTGGATGGGTGAGTGGATGTGTCGGTGGGTGGATGGATGGGTGTGTGGGTGGGTGGATGGATGTGTGGGTGAGTGGTACGCTTTAAATGGTAGTAGATCACGTGATCAAATACGACACTCTCACAGCAGCCCTAACAGTCATGTATAAATGTGTATCTAGTCCATATGGTCTTTGTGCTAAATTTCTCTTTTGCACATTTTTCGTTGTGTTTTTTCTGGTTGCGCATTTTTCTGTTTCTGTTTGCGCTTTTTTCCGTTTGCGCTTTTTTCTATTTGCGCTTTTTTCCGTTTGCGCTTTTTTCTGTTTGCGCTTTTTTCTGTGTGCGCTTTTTTCTGTTTGCGCTTTTTTCCGTTTGCGCTTTTTTCTGTTTGCGCTTTTTTCCGTTTGCGCTTTTTTCCGTTTGCGCTTTTTTCCGTGTGCGCTTTTTTCTGTTTGCGCTTTTTTCCGTTTGCGCTTTTTTCTCTTTGCGCTTTTTTCCGTTTGCGCTTTTTTCTGTTTGCGCTTTTTTCTGTGTGCGCTTTTATCTCTTTGCGCTTTTTTCTCTTTGCGCTTTTTTCCGTGTGCGCTTTTTTCTCTTTGCGCTTTTTTCCGTTTGCGCTTTTTTCTGTTTGCGCTTTTTTCTGTGTGCGCTTTTTTCTCTTTGCGCTTTTTTCCGTTTGCGCTTTTTTCTCTTTGCGCTTTTTTCTGTGTGCGCTTTTTTCTCTTTGCGCTTTTTTCCGTGTGCGCTTATTTCCGTTGCGCTTTTTGATTTGCGCTTTTTTCCGTTGCGCTTTTTTCCGTTGCGGTTCTTTCCGGCCACCCAATTGTACACATCGAACTCATCTAACCATGCTAGTATTGTTTCTGATTAGAGCTAATTTGCTATTGTTTCTGATTAGAGCTAATTTGCTATTGTTTCTGATTAGAGCTAATTTGCTATTGTTTCTGATTAGAGCTAATTTGCAATTGTTTCTGATTAGAGCTAATTTGCAATTGTTTCTGATTAGAGCTAACTAGCTAACTATTGTTTCTGATTAGAGCTAATTAGCTAACCCCTGCTTCTTATAGAGCTAATTAGCTTACTATTATTTTCTCAAGGTCAGAATTGATGAAAGCACCAAGACTGGGGTTACTGAAGGAAACGCTTGTCTCTTTAGCCCAGATGGAGAACCTGGTCTCTGACCTTGTCATTTTTGCTGGCAAGATACTTGATGAGTAAGTAATATCCTAGCACTATATGATGAGTAAGTAATATCCTAGCACTATATGATGAGTAAGTAATATCCTAGCACTATATGATGAGTAAGTAATATCCTAGCACTATATGATGAGTAAGTAATATCCTAGCACTATATGATGAGTAAGTAATATCCTAGCACTATATGATGAGTAAGTAATATCCTAGCACTATATGATGAGTAAGTAATATCCTAGCACTATATGATGAGTAAGTAATATCCTAGCACTATATGATGAGTAAGTAATATCCTAGCACTATATGATGAGTAAGTAATATCCTAGCACTATATGATGAGTAAGTAATATCCTAGCACTATATGATGAGTAAGTAATATCCTAGCACTATATGATGAGTAAGTAATATCCTAGCACTATATGATGAGTAAGTTATATCCTAGCACTATATGATGAGTAAGTTATATCCTAGCACTATATGATGAGTAAGTAATATCCTAGCACTATATGATGAGTAAGTAATATCCTAGCACTATATGATGAGTAAGTAATATCCTAGCACTATATGATGAGTGAGTAATATCCTAGCACTATATGATGAGTAAGATATATCCTAGCACTATATGATGAGTGAGTAATATCCTAGCACTATATGATGAGTAAGTAATATCCTAGCACTATATGATGAGTAAGTAATATCCTAGCACTATATGATGAGTAAGTAATATCCTAGCACTATATGATGAGTAAGTAATATCCTAGCACTATATGATGAGTAAGTAATATCCTAGCACTATATGATGAGTAAGTAATATCCTAGCACTATATGATGAGTAAGTAATATCCTAGCACTATATGATGAGTAAGTAATATCCTAGCACTATATGATGAGTAAGTAATATCCTAGCACTATATGATGAGTAAGTAATATCCTAGCACTATATGATGAGTAAGTTATATCCTAGCACTATATGATGAGTAAGTAATATCCTAGCACTATATGATGAGTAAGTAATATCCTAGCACTATATGATGAGTAAGTAATATCCTAGCACTATATGATGAGTAAGTAATATCCTAGCACTATATGATGAGTAAGTAATATCCTAGCACTATATGATGAGTAAGTAATATCCTAGCACTATATGATGAGTAAGTAATATCCTAGCACTATATGATGAGTAAGTAATATCCTAGCACTATATGATGAGTAAGTAATATCCTAGCACTATATGATGAGTAAGTAATATCCTAGCACTATATGATGAGTAAGTAATATCCTAGCACTATATGATGAGTAAGTAATATCCTAGCACTATATGATGAGTAAGTAATATCCTAGCACTATATGATGAGTAAGTAATATCCTAGCACTATATGATGAGTAAGTTATATCCTAGCACTATATGATGAGTAAGTTATATCCTAGCACTATATGATGAGTAAGTAATATCCTAGCACTATATGATGAGTAAGTAATATCCTAGCACTATATGATGAGTAAGTAATATCCTAGCACTATATGATGAGTAAGTAATATCCTAGCACTATATGATGAGTAAGATATATCCTAGCACTATATGATGAGTGAGTAATATCCTAGCACTATATGATGAGTAAGTAATATCCTAGCACTATATGATGAGTAAGTAATATCCTAGCACTATATGATGAGTAAGTAATATCCTAGCACTATATGATGAGTAAGTAATATCCTAGCACTATATGATGAGTAAGTAATATCCTAGCACTATATGATGAGTAAGTAATATCCTAGCACTATACATGGATGATTTAGACCCTACCATCCAGTAGCAGGTCGGGAGCATGGGGAGCTAACGCTCCCCCTAGAACCATTGTAAGGATGTTGCCACCTTTTTCAGAGAATAATTAAATACAAAATTTTGTGAAAAGTTTCACGAAAAAAAATAAAAAAAAGCAAATAGACCCACCTAACAGTACTTTCGTGTTATGTAGTCTAAATATCTCATTTTAAATGACTCATCACAAGTAAACGTCTTAGTCTAGCAAGTCTTTTCCTCACAATGTTAATCCACTTCAACGCCTGTACATCTGCTGTTTGCGTTATTCCTACTGGACCATCAACCACCCAACGGATCTATCTCAATTCCCAAATTTATAGGAGGGGAGGGGGAAGCTGAATAAATATACAGAAAAATAAACACATTCTCACACAACTTCAAGAATGTTAAAATGAATCAAGACGGTCAGAATGTACAGATGTCAAATACATCAGGTAAATTTAGTTAAAATCATTGAAAATATTGAGGATAAAAGTAAAACTGCATCCAAAAGATGAGTAGTCAAACTTCAGAAATAGAATAACAATAGTTGTTTTATTTTTTTAAAATCAGAATCATAGCTTTTAAAACAGGCAATGTTCTATGGAACTTGCTTTTGCAATTACCTGTAATGAAGTGTGTGAGCATACAATGATCTAACCCATACCTTATTATTATTATGTTAAACAATAATCTACAAAGAAAAGAAAAAGCAGCAGCTAATTCAGGAGCATACAATGATCTAACCCATACCTTATTATTATTATGTTAAACAATAATCTACAAAGAAAAGAAAAAGCAGTAGCTAATTCAGGAGCATACAATGATCTAACCCATACCTTATTATTATTATGTTAAACAATAATCTACAAAGAAAAGAAAAAGCAGTAGCTAATTCAGGAGCTTACAATGATCTAACCCATACCTTAGCTAATTCAGGAGCATACAATGATCTAACCCAGGGGTCTCCAAACTTTTCAGTCCGAGGGCCGCATTAACAATCAAATTTCAGTTCGGGGGCCAGTTAATTAAAAAAATGTCTGATTTTTCTGGGCAAAGTTCCTCAGCCATCACCAGCAAACGTTTTTTCCGTGGACAAAAATATCGCCGCGGGCCGGATAAGAGGACCTCGCGGGCCGCATCCGGCCCGCGGGCCGTAGTTTGGAGACCCCTGATCTAACCCATACCTTAGCTAATTCAGGAGCATACAATGATCTAACCCATACCTTAGCTAATTCAGGAGCATACAATGATCTAACCCATACCTTAGCTAATTCAGGAGCATACAATGATCTAACCCATACCTTAGCTAATTCAGGAGCATACAATGATCTAACCCATACCTTAGCTAATTCAGGAGCATACAATGATCTAACCCATACCTTAGCTAATTCAGGAGCAAAATTCATGGCCAAAACATATTGGTACTTATAACTACCATCAGAAATGGAGGACATTTTTTCCAAAATATAAAAAATTTACAAAACAGGAACAAACAATACAATTTATTAACTAATAACATGGCAATCATTATAAAAATCATTTTTGTAATTTTCACTCATAAACATAGCACAAAAGTATTTTTTGAGTACGATTTTTACTGGATTTTCTAATGGAACACATCTTAGACGTTCTTCTGATTGTGCCAAACACAGCAAAAGGTGCCGACATGACCTACTCCCTTATTCCTTAGTGACACATTCTTGTCTCTCGTCTTTCTGGTGTGGCAACAGTTGCCGGACTGAATCTGCTTTTGCTGGAAGCTTCCAATAGCTATTACAATGAGCCGCATAAACATATATTTTAAAAACAAAGCCTAGTCATTCAGTACACTACTACTAGTAATGACTATTATGATTGTAGCCTACTATAATGTTATGGCTTACACTACTGTGTAAAGTTCATAAAAAGAAGTGAGCTCAATGTGTTTAGGATAGCCATAGTGGCTTACTGTTTTATGTTTACTGATTCAAATTTACAAAACGATCTATATTATATGCAGATGTATGGACTATTACTAGTCTACAGGTATACATTACGTACATGCAAGTTCTTGTAGGCAAAACAGTTTTTTGCAATAAATATAACTAACAAATCTTACTACTAGAACTAGACTTTGGCATACAAATAAAGTATACTAACCTAGTAAACTAGCCAGTAACTGCTACCTTTAATCTTATTACTCTTTTACTACTAGAAATCTGCATTTAATTACAATATTTGATAGGTAAACCAATGCTAATCTTCTTATAAATGTATGAATATCATTTTTTGAGTACATTTAGATAATTAATTATCAAAATAATATTTATGTCACTCCACATCAAAAATCTGCCATTTCCAAGAAATGATGGTACTCACAAGTCCTTGTGCATATGTCGATCTAATACAAAGACAATTTGATTTAAATTGTATAACTAGAAGTTAAACACATTTACCTGGCTTTTGAAGATGTCAATAAAAAATATTTGGGGTTGAAAACTTGAAGAAAAAGGTAAAACAAAGGGAAATCAGGAACACATTTGAGATTTGTACACAATGATTGTAAACTACCGATACAGAAAGAGATTGAATAAAATACTTAAAAAAGACTTTAAAAAAAAACACGTTTTTCTTGTGGACTAAAAAGTAGAAAATAAATTTTTCTTTTGTGCTTCCTCGAGCTGTGCAGGTTCTTGCGATGACTGACAAAAAACGTGGGTACGTTCACCATCAAATTTCCCGACCCATCTGCCCGACCCACGTTTTTTGACAGTCATCACAAGAACCTGCACAACTCGAGGAAGCACAAAAGAAAAATTTATTTTCTACTTTTTAGTCCACAAGAAAAACGTGGTTTTTTAAAAAAAGTTTTTTTTAATTTTTTTATTTTCTCCTTTTTAGTCCGTTGCTACACATGAAAAACGTGTTTTTTAAAAAGTTTTTTATATAGTTTATTTTCTACTTTATCTAATGACTTGATTAAGTATGACTTGACTAAGTGTTTATAAATACACGGACTAAAAATCTTGAGCGACCGATACGCTTTAAACAGAGAAAGGGCGTAATTTAATTAAGCCTACATGCCGTGACCAGGATTCGAACCTGGGTTGTCGCGGCCACAACGCGAAGTACTAACCACTATACGATCACGGCCAGCGCGCTCACATCGATTGGGGCCGAAGTAACTGTGTCAATAGGCCTCCAGTCTTGTCGGTATGTTTAGAAATCATGTCCTCGATTTTATGGTCCTTGGGGCGTAATTTAATTAAGCTAATTTAGGTCTCTAATTGCTAGTTTTTATGATTGCATCTGAAATTGTTAGGCGAAAATAGCCTGCATTCCAAATTTCAGATCTCTAGAGCAATCAGAAGTGTGCTAATTTTCGATGTCAATTTTAACAACAAACCCACAAACAAACAAATAAACGCAAAGCTGAGTTAAGAAAAACGTGTTAAAAATGGCGCCGCACTAGAAATTTTCAAAAAACATTGATCCCTCCACTTAACGGTGACTCAGGGGATGTGATAGTACTAATCACATCAATAATTTAAAAAATTCGTCTTAAATTAAAAATAATACAGGCGCTTAATTAAAGTGGTACTTTTAAATACTGTCAGTAGATAAAGGGTTAAGAGAGTAATTGTTTCCCCTACTGTAGTTTGCTTGTCTTAAATCTTTTTAATGTTCCATTATATCAAATAATTTTTAAAAAAGGATTACAAAACAAGTTATGCTGCGTTTCTTGCAGTGTTTTTGTTTGTGTTATGTGTATATTTTGTGTGATAATTTGTGTTGTGTGTATATTTTGTGTTGTATTTTGTGTTGCTTTGTGTGATAAGTTGTGTTGTGTGTATATTTTGTGTTGTATTTTGTGTTGCTTTGTTGTGATAACATTGTTTTTGTTGTTTTTCTTTTATGTTCTTCAAATTCTTTTTGAATGTATTTTACACCCTAGCAAAGCAATGACATGCAGCTAGTAATACTTGCTTTAAATTTTATTTAATTATTCTCCAAAAAAGGCGCCACTACCCTTAAAATGGCACCTTTTTCTCAACTCGCAGCTCCTCCAAACATGAAACACCTCTGCTATGATCATCTGTACATATAACGGAGGGGTCATTGTATTTGGTGTATTAGGTGGACAAAGGGGCGGGAGGTGGTCAGGTGACATGGTGTGGATGGGGTTCAGCTATTTGGAGTAGTAGAGAGGGGAGTGGTCAGACCAGTCACCATCATGAATGTTTATTTTTTTGCCACAGATGTAGTTGTGAAGCTGCTGACTTTTTTTTTTGTTTTTTGCCACAGATGTAGTTGTGAAGCTGCTGACTTTTGTTTTTGCCACAGATGTAGTTGTGAAGCTGCTGACTTTTGTTTTTGCCACAGATGTAGTTGTGAAGCTGCTGACTTTTGTTTTTGCCACAGATGTAGTTGTGAAGCTGCTGACTTTTGTTTTTGCCACAGATGTAGTTGTGAAGCTGCTGACTTTTTTTTTTTTTTTTTTGCCACAATGTAGTTGTGAAGCTGCTGACTTTTTTTTTTTTTTTTCCACAGATGTAGTTGTGAAGCTGCTGACTTTTGTTTTTGCCACAGATGTAGTTGTGAAGCTGCTGACTTTTGTTTTTGCGACAGATGTAGTTGTGAAGCTGCTGACTTTATTTTTTTTTTTTGCCACAGATGTAGTTGTGAAGCTGCTGACTTTTGTTTTTGCCACAGATGTAGTTGTGAAGCTGCTGACTTTTGTTTTTGCCACAGATGTAGTTGTGAAGCTGCTGACTTTTGTTTTTGCCACAGATGTAGTTGTGAAGCTGCTGACTTTTGTTTTTTTTGCCACAGATGTAGTTGTGAAGCTGCTGACTTTTGTTTTTGCCACAGATGTAGTTGTGAAGCTGCTGACTTTTGTTTTTGCCACAGATGTAGTTGTGAAGCTGCTGACTTTTGTTTTTGCCACAGATGTAGTTGTGAAGCTGCTGACTTTTGTTTTTGCCACAGATGTAGTTGTGAAGCTGCTGACTTTTGTTTTTGCCACAGATGTAGTTGTGAAGCTGCTGACTTTTGTTTTTTTTGCCACAGATGTAGTTGTGAAGCTGCTGACTTTTGTTTTTGCCACAGATGTAGTTGTGAAGCTGCTGACTTTTGTTTTTGCCACAGATGTAGTTGTGAAGCTGCTGACTTTTGTTTTTGCCACAGATTTAGTTGTAAAGCTGCTGACTTTTTTTTTTGCCACAGATGTAGTTGTGAAGCTGCTGACTTTTGTTTTTGCCACAGATGTAGTTGTGAAGCTGCTGACTTTTGTTTGTTTTTGCCACAGATGTAGTTGTGAAGCTGCTGACTTTATCTGGGAGCTTTCACTTCTTCCTTTATTTTGTTTACTGGACACAGCACCTTTAGCAATTGTTCAAAACTGTCCTTTAGTTTTGGCAAGGACGCAATCTATTTTTAGATCCAATAAAAGAGATCAGATATCAACTCTGCTAAAGCTTGGCATTGATAATTTGCTGAACTCAGTGCAGGTATGTGCCAGTTTTATTGTCCCTTAGTTGGTAGCAAATAATAATAGTATTCAAAGTACTCTAGTCCACATGATGGTAATCAAAGTACTCTAGTCCACATGATGGTAATCAAAGTACTGTAGTCCACATGATGGTAATCAAAGTACTCTAGTCCACATGATGGTAATCAAAGTACTCTAGTCCACATGATGGTAATCAAAGTACTCTAGTCCACATGATGGTAATCAAAGTACTCTAGTCCACATGATGGTAATCAAAGTACTGTAGTCCACATGATGGTAATCAAAGTACTCTAGTCCACATGATGGTAATCAAAGTACTCTAGTCCACATGATGGTAATCAAAGTACTCTAGTCCACATGATGGTAATCAAAGTACTGTAGACCACATGATGGTAATCAAAGTACTCTAGTCTACATGATGGTAATCAAAGTACTGTAGTCCACATGATGGTAAACAAAGTACTCTAGTCCACATGATGGTAATCAAAGTACTGTAGTCCACATGATGGTAATCAAAGTACTGTAGTCCACATGATGGTAATCAAAGTACTGTAGTCCACATGATGGTAATCAAAGTACTCTAGTCCACATGATGGTAATCAAAGTACTCTAGTCCCCATGATGGTAATCAAAGTACTCTAGTCCACATGATGGTAATCAAAGTACTCTAGTCCACATGATGGTAATCAAAGTACTGTAGTCTACATGATGGTAATCAAAGTACTGTAGTCCACATGATGGTAAACAAAGTACTCTAGTCCACATGATGGTAATGAAAGTACTCTAGTCCACATGATGGTAATCAAAGTACTCTAGTCCACATGATGGTAATCAAAGTACTCTAGTCCACATGATGGTAATCAAAGTACTCTAGTCCACATGATGGTAATCAAAGTACTGTAGTCCACATGATGGTAATCAAAGTACTCTAGTCCACATGATGGTATTCAAAGTACTCTAGTCCACATGATGGTAATCAAAGTACTCTAGTCCACATGATGGTAATCAAAGTACTCTAGTCCACATGATGGTAATCAAAGTACTCTAGTCCACATGATGGTAATCAAAGTACTGTAGTCCACATGATGGTAATCAAAGTACTCTAGTCCACATGATGGTAATCAAAGTACTCTAGTCCACATGATGGTAATCAAAGTACTCTAGTCCACATGATGGTAATCAAAGTACTCTAGTCCACATGATGGTAATCAAAGTACTGTAGTCCACATGATGGTAATCAAAGTACTCTAGTCTACATGATGGTAATCAAAGTACTCTAGTCCACATGATGGTAAACAAAGTACTCTAGTCCACATGATGGTAAACAAAGTACTCTAGTCCACATGATGGTAATCAAAGTACTCTAGTCCACATGATGGTAATCAAAGTACTCTAGTCCACATGATGGTAATCAAAGTACTCTAGTCCACATGATGGTAATCAAAGTACTCTAGTCCACATGATGGTAATCAAAGTACTCTAGTCCACATGATGGTAATCAAAGTACTCTAGTCCACATGATGGTAATCAAAGTACTGTAGTCCACATGATGGTAAACAAAGTACTGTAGTCCACATGATGGTAAACAAAGTACTCTAGTCCACATGATGGTAATCAAAGTACTCTAGTCCACATGATGGTAATCAAAGTACTCTAGTCCACATGATGGTAATCAAAGTACTCTAGTCCACATGATGGTAATCAAAGTACTCTAGTCCACATGATGGTAATCAAAGTACTCTAGTCCACATGATGGTAATCAAAGTACTCTAGTCCACATGATGGTAATCAAAGTACTCTAGTCCACATGTTGTAATCAAAGTACTCTAGTCCACATGATGGTAATCAAAGTACTGTAGTCCACATGATGGTAATCAAAGTACTGTAGTCCACATGATGGTAATCAAAGTACTGTAGTCCACATGATGGTAATCAAAGTACTCTAGTCCATATGATGGTAATCAAAGTACTCTAGTCCACATGATGGTAATCAAAGTACTGTAGTCCACATGATGGTAAACAAAGTACTGTAGTCCACATGATGGTAATCAAAGTACTCTAGTCCACATGATGGTAATCAAAGTACTGTAGTCCACATGATGGTAATCAAAGTACTGTAGTCCACATGATGGTAATCAAAGTACTGTAGTCCACATGATGGTAATCAAAGTACTGTAGTCCACATGATGGTAATCAAAGTACTCTAGTCCATATGATGGTAATCAAAGTACTCTAGTCCACATGATGGTAATCAAAGTACTGTAGTCCACATGATGGTAATCAAAGTACTGTAGTCCACATGATGGTAATCAAAGTACTGTAGTCCACATGGTGGTAATCAAAGTACTGTAGTCCACATGATGGTAATCAAAGTACTCTAGTCCACATGATGGTAATCAAAGTACTCTAGTCCACATGATGGTAATCAAAGTACTCTAGTCCACATGATGGTAATCAAAGTACTCTAGTCCACATGATGATAATCTACTGTAGTCCACATGATATCCCTAATTTAAAAAGCAGTAGTTTTCTTGACACAGTATTAGTAACATAAAAAGTGTTTGTCACTTTTAGTTTTGTATAAACTACTTTAATTATATGAAGTTTGTTTAAGTACTCTAATGATATGAAATTTGTTAAAGTACTCAAATGGTATGAAGTTTGTTAAAGTACTCTAATGGTATGAAGTTTGTTAAAGTACTCTAATGGTATGAAGTTTGTTAAAGTACTCTAATGGTATGAAGTTTGTTAAAGTACTCTAATGGTATGAAGTTTGTTAAAGTACTCTAATGGTATGAAGTTTGTTAAAGTACTCTAATGGTATGAAGTTTGTTAAAGTACTCTAATGGTATGAAGTTTGTTAAAGTACTCTAATGGTATGAAGTTTGTTAAAGTACTCTAATAGTATGAAGTTTGTTAAAGTACTCTAATGGTATGAAGTTTGTTAAAGTACTCTAATGGTATGAAGTTTGTTAAAGTACTCTAATGGTATGAAGTTTGTTAAAGTACTCTAATGGTATGAAGTTTGTTAAAGTACTCTAATGGTATGAAGTTTGTTAAAGTACTCTAATGGTATGAAGTTTGTTAAAGTACTCTAATGGTATGAAGTTTGTTAAAGTACTCTAATGGTATGAAGTGTGTTAAAGTACTCTAATGGTATGAAGTTTGTTAAAGTACTCTAATGGTATGAAGTTTGTTAAAGTACTCTAATGGTATGAAGTTTGTTAAAGTACTCTAATAGTATGAAGTTTGTTAAAGTACTCTAATGGTATGAAGTTTGTTAAAGTACTCTAATGGTATGAAGTTTGTTAAAGTACTCTAATGGTATGAAGTTTGTTAAAGTACTCTAATGGTATGAAGTTTGTTAAAGTACTCTAATGGTATGAAGTTTGTTAAAGTACTCTAATGGTATGAAGTTTGTTAAAGTACTCTAATGGTATGAAGTTTGTTAAAGTACTCTAATGGTATGAAGTTTGTTAAAGTACTCTAATGGTATGAAGTTTGTTAAAGTACTCTAATGGTATGAAGTTTGTTAAAGTACTCTAATGGTATGAAGTTTGTTAAAGTACTCTAATGGTATGAAGTTTGTTAAAGTACTCTAATGGTATGAAGTTTGTTAAAGTACTCTAATGGTATGAAGTTTGTTAAAGTACTCTAATGGTATGAAGTTTGTTAAAGTACTCTAATGGTATGAAGTTTGTTAAAGTACTCTAATGGTATGAAGTTTGTTAAAGTACTCTAATGGTATGAAGTTTGTTAAAGTACTCTAATGGTATGAAGTTTGTTAAAGTACTCTAATGGTATGAAGTTTGTTAAAGTACTCTAATGGTATGAAGTTTGTTAAAGTACTCTAATGGTATGAAGTTTGTTAAAGTACTCTAATGGTATGAAGTTTGTTAAAGTACTCTAATGGTATGAAGTTTGTTAAAGTACTCTAATGGTATGAAGTTTGTTAAAGTACTCTAATGGTATGAAGTTTGTTAAAGTACTCTAATGGTATGAAGTTTGTTAAAGTACTCTAATGGTATGAAGTTTGTTAAAGTACTCTAATGGTATGAAGTTTGTTAAAGTACTCTAATGGTATGAAGTTTGTTAAAGTACTCTAATGGTATGAAGTTTGTTAAAGTACTCTAATGGTATGAAGTTTGTTAAAGTACTCTAATAGTATGAAGTTTGTTTAATTCCAGGTGAAAGGCACTACCAATGCAGCCTGTGTTGAGTACTTGAAGCTGAAAACACTTGATTGTCCGCCCTTGCTCAAACAGTCTCTGCTCTGTAACGGACTTGTGTCTTCTGATCACTGTCTGACTTATTTAGTCCAGCTCTTCAAGAAACACAAGAAAGGTACAGATGACTGAAGTCACTTGAAGTCATACACTAAAGAATGCTATTAAGTTACTGGTAACTAACAAGTTGTGCAACCATAAGTACTTTTATGATACTAATTACTGTTGATATTATAGAATAATTGTGTTATCCAGTTCTTAGAAACATTACTAGTTATAAGTTAGTCATTACTAGCTAGTCATTAGTAGTTGTTCATTAATTGTTGGTCATTACTAGTTGGTCATTACTAGTTGGTCATTACTAGTTGGTCATTACTAGTTAGTCATTACTAGTTGGTCATTAGTTTAATTTTTTAACTTGACTGTGTCACTAAATTGCTTGACATTTCTCCCTAGGACCTGGAGATGAAGAGAGTCTACATCAACTACATGTCTATCTTCAATATCTTCAAGCCTGCTTAAACATGCCAGGTCTTGTTTGCCCTGTATGTCAATTTTACTTTGAACATTCAATTAACTCTTTAAGGCTGTAGCAATCCTATTTGTCAATTTTACTTTGAACATTCAATTAACTCTTTAAGGCTGTAGCAATCCTATTTGTCAATTTTACTTTGAACATTCAATTAACTCTTTAAGGCTGTAGCAATCCTATTTGTCAATTTTACTTTGAACATTCAATTAACTCTTTAAGGCTGTAGCAATCCTATTTGTCAATTTTACTTTGAACATTCAATTAACTCTTTAAGGCTGTAGCAACCCTCCCAGCATAGTCTACTGTAACGAAGCTCCCAACTTCTGCTATGATTTTTCTCTATTTAATTCATTGCTTTGCCAAATCCAAGTTTTTAGAGTTATTTATTTCTTGTAGTTTTTCCATTAGGCTGATTTTGTATTCTATCAAAATGTTTTGTAAACCCCTAGCAAAAAGCATTTTTTAACACTGCAGATACCATTCATCTGCCATGTATAGTTTATGCCAAAATCAAAGTAAAGAAGATTAAAGTAGTTAATCAAATGGACATAATTTCATTTCCTATGAATAAGAACACATTAAAAAATAATTCTTATAATTAAATTTCCTAACAGTAGAGTGTTTTTTTTCCAGAGAAAGCTACTATTTATTTTATCTTCCTTAAAACTAAGCATTTAACTTCCTTTAACTAAAAATTTATATTAGTGTGTAGGGCATTTAATTTAATCATAATTAATCAATACTTTTAATGTGTGGTTTTACATAAATCGGTAATAAGTCATTGGTACTGAAAAAAATTATGTGGAAACAAATAATTCTGGCCTTAATGAGTTAGAACATTTCAACATTTAAGTTTGAAAATCACATTGTTGCATCTCAGTATATCATTAAAACATCTTGCCCTTTATATAATGAAAAATGGCACCATTTTATTAAAACAGCTCCCATTGAGACAAACTATTCCATCTTGTAATGAAGCAGCTAATTGATTTCTATCCATCTTGTAATGAAGCGGCTAATTGATTTCTATTTTATTTGTAGCAGCTGACAATCCTTCTCAAGTCCTATGTGTCACTTGTAACACACAGCAATCATTTGACTACTGGACATCTACAAGATCTTTGCAATCTTTTACAACTCAAGATGTTTGACATAGATAGCAATATTCAAGAGCTAGCAGTAGAAATTGTTACAGAACTATTTTTATCTGGTAATGTTTCATCATTCTATACAAATAGTTTGAGAACTGTTTTTGTTTGTTAATGTTTCATCACGTCTATACAAATAGTTTGAGAACTGTTTTTGTTTGTTAATGTTTCATCGTGTCTGTAGAAATAGTTTGAGAACTGTTTTTGGCTGGTATCACTTGATGGTAGAACATTCCTATTGATGGTAGAACATTCCTATTGATGGTAGAACATTCCTATTGATGGTAGAATATTCCTATTGATGGTAGAACATTCCTATTGATGGTAGAACATTCCTATTGATGGTAGAACATTCCTATTGATGGTAGAACATTCCTGTTGATGGTAGAACATTTCACTTGAAGCTAGAACATTAAACTTTAAGGATAGACTATATGGATGAAATTTTTATTTTATTTAACACATTTCTGGGTGTTTAATAAATTCATATGTTTTTAACCTATTGACAAAAATAATATATAGCCACCAATAGCAGTAATGGTTGCCATGGAAACCACGAAAAGGTGTGAAAACTAACACCTTTTCAAACCTGTATAACTTTGTGTCCGTAAGAGATTTTTAAGACCTGATGAAAAATTTAGATTTCTCAAACCAAACTATACATTTCTACGTTTATTCATTGCAATAGCTCGTACTCAATTTTGAATACAAATTTTAATTTACATTTACATACAAAAATTATAATTATAGGTGGTACTACATAAATATCAATATTTCTTTAAGTATTGTACTAAACTTAATGTACAAACGTAGTTTTGTAGATGGTATCATGCTGAATGCACGTGGAATGTTTCAGTCTTGTATGACAAAGAGTTCCAAAGCCTTAGAGATTTGAAAGTTGAGAAAACGTGAAAAGAAGGGCGAAAAAAAAGCACAATGCGTTTCATCTTACAGAAAAAAAAACCTCTTATGTGTGGAAGAACCATTTGACTAATAATATACGCGTTGATTTATGGTGTAAGTTTTTAATGTAAGCAAAAATATGTATACAACAGGTAATGAATTAATGACTATTAAATATTACACATCCTATCCATCGAGTTATTCTCAGAACAGCTATCTTCAAACCAGATCAAGTTTTGTTTGTTAGCCGGTCTTCTCACTTCAAATCAATGTCTTTCTCTACTTAAATTGTAGCTTATACAAGTTTATTGCCTTTTAATAATAGCCTACTACACAATCCTGGGTACAACGCTTGAGGCTAGACACGCCCCCCCCCCCCCCCCATCTCCCCACAGCTGGACAGTGAGTGAAGATCCAATGAGACATAGATTACCAATGTCCATTCAACCGTGAATAACACATCCGTGTAGATAGGGTCAAGCACTATGTTTCCGTACAATGAATGCTTATCAGCTATCCCATCTAGTATTTACATTAGTTGCTACATGGACCGAAGGGCATACACATATTAACACATGTGTCGTTTACAGTCCGATGTATAGTCTGATGAACGCGTCCAAGCCTATCACAGCATGATGTAACAAGATTATAAATAATATAAACTGGTCGTTGGTTAAATGGCGAGAAGGTGATGTGGGGGGTGAAGGGGAGGGACTTAGTACATTCTTCACCACACTGACTGACTTGTCCTTGAAGCATTGTTTCAGCTTACTATAAAGCTTACCAATGTTTAATAGTGTTCCAATGACAATCAACAGTACATTTCGTAGCCAAGTTTCAAATATTGACCTAAATGTTGTTGTATAATTTTAAAACAACAAATAGAAGAGTATATTCAAATAAAGTAAATAAACTAAGTATAATTTTAAAACAATAAATAGAAGAGTATATTCAAATAAAGTAAACAAACTAAGTATAATTTTAAAACAATAAATAGAAGAGTATATTCAAATAAAGTAAACAAACTAAGTATAATTTTAAAACAACAAATAGAAGAGTATATTCAAATAAAGTAAACAAACTAAGTATAATTTTAAAACAACAAATAGAAGAGTATATTTAAGTAAAGTAAACAAACTAAGTATAATTTTAAAACAATAAATAGAAGAGTATATTCAAATAAAGTAAACAAACTAAGTATAATTTTAAAACAATAAATAGAAGAGTATATTCAAATAAAGTAAACAAACTAAGTATAATTTTAAAACAACAAATAGAAGAGTATATTCAAATAAAGTAAACAAACTAAGTATAATTTTAAAACAACAAATAGAAGAGTATATGCAAATAAAGTAAACAAACTAAGTATAATTTTAAAACAACAAATAGAAGAGTATATTCAAATAAAGTAAGCAAACTAAGTATAATTTTAAAACAACAAATAGAAGAGTATATATATTCAAATAAAGTAAACAAAGTATAATTTTAAAACAACAAATAGAAGAGTATATTCAAATAAAGTAAACAAACTAAGTATAATTTTAAAACAACAAATAGAAGAGTATATTCAAATAAACAAACTAGATCTAAGTATAATTTTAAAACAACAAATAGAAGAGTATATGCAAATAAAGTAAACAAACTAAGACAGGCGATTGTTTTATTTAGAAACAAGATGGCTGCCTAGCACAGGAAAAAAAACAGAAAAAAAGTCACAGTGGAAAAATTTTATCGGAAAAAAAGTCACAGAAATAAAGTCACAGAAAAAAAGTCACACAAATCTTTTTAGAAATATTTTTATTAATTAAAATTTGTTAAGAATTGTAACATTTTGTATGTTTATTGTTATGGGTTGTATTTTTTGATAGCATAAATTATTTATAGACGTTAAAAGCACTATGATTTATAACAATTGTAAGTAAAAATACTCTAAGATAATTAACACAACAATCTCAACTTTTGTTACGTAATTAGTTAAATACGCGGTAGAAAAGTTAATTATAAAAGAAATTTAGGCGTATTTTGCCGTAGGCTATTCTCTGGTCGGCCTCTCCTCAGTAGGCATTGTCCGAACATATTTTGTGTTGTTGACGTTATGCGTCAATGACAGCCTTTGAACCTTGTCGGCTTTCTGTTTTGATCCTAAGTTTTGTTATGTAATGAGCGTGATAAATGTGGGCAGTAAAGGTGGTTGAACTAAACATAACTATTGTTGCCATAAGTTGAGGGCAGCAAGTCAGATGAACTTACCATTTCACGGTAATTTAATGTTGGTATTTAAGAAAAAAAAACACTATGAAAAACGTGGACTTTGGAGCATTCTATTAAATGCTACTAATCTTAAGTTTAACATAATTACAATCACACACTTCATACTAAATATTTTTAGATGAATTATAAAAATTACTATGCGTATACAGCCTACACACATTACATTTACTTAATCCTAAGTTAATTTGCACGCTCAAAATATTTAATACATAAAAGTATTAACAAATATCATGCAAATATATAATTGTGACTTTTTTCCTGCGACTTTTTTTTCCTGTGTTTTTTTCCTGCGACTTTTTTTTCCTGTGTTTTTTTCCTGCGACTTTTTTTCCTACAATCGATGTAATACCTGCTCGAAGATAGACGCTGTCTGCGTAGTAGTGTGAAAACTTGTCGGGGGGGGGGGGGGGGGGGTACCATGTTTCACATCGCAATAAACGGATAACCATAGGCTGTAGAACTCCGAAATGTTCAGGCTAGATAGATAAAATGTATTAGTACCAAATTAATAAATGAAAATTTTGGGAAGCAAAATTTTAAAAAAATCGAAAAAAGTGTATCTTGTATCCTTAAACTTTGATGAGCAAAGACAACAACAAATTCTTAACAATTTTTCTGCAGAGGCTGAATGTGTGAGGTTGGCAGTAGAGCAATCTGGCCTTCTCTTCTCACTCTGGCAGTGTCTAGAAAGTCTGGTCACCTCAGTACTGACAGCTCTTCTAAACATTGTCAATAAATGTTGTCTTGGACACTTCTTATCATCAATTAATTTAACTCAGGTCAGTTAATCTAACCCAGGTTGGTCAGTTAATCTAACCCAGGTTGGTCAGTTAATCTAACCCAGGTTGGTCAGTTAATCTAACCCAGGTTGGTCAGTTAATCTAACCCAGGTTGGTCAGTTAATCTAACCCAGGTTGGTCAGTTAATCTAACCCAGGTTGGTCAGTTAATCTAACCCAGGTTGGTCAGTTAATCTAACCCAGGTTGGTCAGTTAATCTAACCCAGGTTGGTCAGTTAATCTAACCCAGGTTGGTCAGTTAATCTAACCCAGGTTGGTCAGTTGTACATTGTACTTTAAACATTTTTATTGCAGGAAACAATGGCATTGAAAGTTGGAGAGTTATTGTTAGCAAGACATTGTTGGGATGACATGAAAAGTCTGGCATTTAAGTTGCTAGCAAAACTCTGTCCAGTCCATCTAGTTAACTATGCTAGGCTATGTCTGCTAGAGTCCACTTCATCCTTCTCATTAGCAGTGGTAGAGTACATCAAGCTGCAAGTGCAGGAGACACTGTCAGATGGGCAGGTGCAGGTGACAGCTGGGCAGGCGACAGCTGGGCAGGTGACAGCTGGGCAGGTGACAGCTGGGCAGATGACAGCTGGGCAGGTGCAGGAGACAGCTGGGCAGGAGACAGCTGGGCAGGTGCAGGAGACAGCTGGGCAGGAGACAGCTGGGCAGGTGCAGGAGACAGCTAGGCAGGTGACAGCTGGGCAGGTGCAGGTGACAGCTGGGCAGGCGACAGCTGGGCAGGTGACAGCTGGGCAGGTGACAGCTGGGCAGATGACAGCTGGGCAGGTGCAGGAGACAGCTGGGCAGGAGACAGCTGGGCAGGTGCAGGAGACAGCTAGGCAGGTGACAGCTGGGCAGGTGCAGGAGACAGCTGGGCAGGAGACAGCTGGGCAGGAGACAGCTGGGCAGGTTGACCAGATGAAAAGTTTGCTGATTCTGGGCTGGGCTGATCTGTTACTGGCCCTGGCCAATAGCCAGAATGTTTGCTGCTTGAGGGAATCTGTTCAAGTCATAGAATCCATTCTCACATTTATGGAGGACAAAAGAGTCAATGAGATGATTGCTAAGCAAGTAGAAATGTTTTGTTCCTCCAAGCCTAGAAAGTTAAAGAGATGTAATCTTGGCCAGTATTTCAGTGAAATGTGTCAGTGTATCTTGGCTGTGTACGGCCATCCAGCACACCCTGACAGCACAGCTAAGAGAATCCAAAGAGACATTGAGATGAATCAAGTTGCTATTTCTTTAATGCAGACTGTGGTCAATGAAAACTTGGCTGAGTGGAAGCAAGTGTCTTGTCCAGCATTAGAAAAAGATGAGTTTCTAGATTGTACCAAGGAACTTCACCCATGGGTTCTAAACCAGGAAGCTCTAACCTCTCAGAAGCTGATCCAGGAATTTGTCTCTCCAGAATATTTCAAGACTCCTGCAATAGAACTGATGGCATGGTTTG